CTGTTAGTTTTTTCCAGTTAAAGTCTAGGCACTAACTACCAAGTAGAAATCTCAAAAGATAATGACTTTCTCCCCCAATCTCAAAAATAACTGGATCTCAGCCCCTTTTTACCATAAGTGCTATTTATGCATTATTCACAGCTTCCAATGGAGAAAAAGAGAGAAACGGGAAGCAGCTGGCAGGTGCTGACAACACAACCAGAAAGCCCCAGTGCCCACCCCCTTCCCACGCCATAGATATCTACAGTTACCACTCAGATGGCATGAATCATGGTTGCCTATATGCATTCTTACTTGGATACAGTTTACTTCCCCTAACAGACTAGATGCTCCTTTGAGGTTGGGATTATATCTGATTAGGGTCCTGACTTTCCCTGGGTACCCTCTCAGAATCCTTGGCCTTTTAGTACCTTTAAAGGTTATACACAGCAAACTAGTCCCCATCCTTCCAGTCTAGCTAGATCCTAGGCAGGCACTGGGCTAGCTTTCCATAGTATCTCCTCAGGTCCATGTCACCTGCTCAGCCAAATTCTCACTGTGATTCAATGTTATAACCTGTCACTCCCATCTTCAACTTGAGTTTCTGGGCAGGGCCAGGGAAAATAGTTAATTTCATAAACTGTCACAGTACCAGAACCCCTCAAACTTTTTGATCTCAGAACCTCTTTATAACCTTTAAAAATTCGTGAGGGGCTGATGCAGAAGAATCATGTTCAAGGCCAGCAATTCCAATGACAGATCCAGGTCCATTTTAAAAAGCAGTTAATGCAGACCACAGCTCCAGTAATTGCATGAGTACTTTTCTTTGAGAAAGTGGATGCTTTCCATATGTAGCAGAAACACTTCCTATTTTGTCACACAGAATGTAACAAAGACTTGCACTAAAGATGGGATTTAATAGAGTACACTTTGTTCTTTCATCAGGCGATCCTTCCCTGTGCCTCTCAACATTTTTTAGGTGAGAAGTTATGGCAGTGTAGAGCCCAGGGAATGCACTGGTGCCACACAGACTTGCCACCTTAGCAATGGCAGTCACAATCACCACTGCCTCAGTACCATGAACGCAGACAGCAATGCAGATAATAGTGTAACAACACCTTAGTACTGTGAAAATAGCTCTAACATCATGGACACCCTACAAAAACAGCAGATTTCTCACTTCATCAAATCCCTCAACAGGTCCCTCCTCCATTTTAAGATTCTACCCACCTTGTACGGATTGAACTGTACATATTCTTCCTGCCAACTGCTCCTTACTCTCAACAGATCTTACTGAGGGTGTTATGACAAAACTCAGAAGTGATCTCCCTGGACTTCTCCCCACTCAAATCTACTCAGTCCTCTGATACTGCCAAGAAAGAAGAAACTTTCCTTACTCAAAGCCAACTTTCCCCATTGAGCTAGTCCCATGAGTCATTCCCCTCAGGTGGTCCAGTCATTTCTGCCTCCACTTTCCATTCCAAACGTCCCACTCCCATTTACTGTTTCAATCTCTCTCTCTCTCTCTCTCTCTCTCTCTCTCTCTCTCAATCTTACATATGTGCATGCTTGTGAGTACAGGTGTACACAGACCACAGCACACATGTCTCTACATGTGTACAATCTTGGGTGTTGGTCATCCCCTTCCACCCTGTTTAAAAGACAGGCATCATGTTACTCGATGTGTACACCAGGATAGCTGGCCCACCAGCTTCTGGGAATTCTCTTATTTCTACACCCCCTACCCCCTTCATCATCAAAGGAATGCTGAGATTACAGATGTGCACTGCTGTGCCTGGCTTTACATAGGTTTAGGAAGTGCTTAACTGGGTCATCTCACCAGCCTTCAATTACTTATATAGTCACCAACACCCCCTAAATGGAAAACCAACCCATATTTTTCCGTCTGTGTCTTGTTGAACTTCTTTGCTGCAGGGATGCTGTTGTATAATCAAATGACACTAACCCTTTCTTCATTCTTTTTATAGTCTTCAAGAGTTGCTATTCCCACTCCATTGCCTACTGAAGGTTTATATTCTCTAGCTAAATCTTAGCCTCTTCACTGAGAACCCTTGCATGGTTTCAAAAGTAATAGGTTAAGTGACGCTCAAAGTAATCCTTAGTCCAGGGTGACCAAGTTCTAGAAGAATAAATACAACTTGGTGGAGCTAACAGCATGTAGTACATGATCGCAATTATGTCTCACACATGCAATAACAGTCTGAAAGATCTTCACTTGTCATCAATTGCATTAGATTTTTTAAAACAAAGTTCTTGCTATATGTAACCAGTATGCAATGTTCCCTCCTATATATAGTACAGCTAGGATCGGAATGCTTTAAATATTTAGACCTACTGCCCTACACCTGATCAGTCTTATCTGTTATGTTGTAAACTGCCCCCCCCCCCCGCCCCGGTCTTTTTGAGACAGGGTCGTCCTGTAGTCACAGCTGTCTTGGAACTCACTATGTAGACCAGGCTGGCCTACATCTCACAGAGATCTGCTTGCCTCTGCCTCCCCGAGTGCTGGGATTAAAGGCATGCGCCACCATGCCCAGCCGTCTTAAATGTTTTTTTACTTATTTTGTGCGAGTGCATGTTCATGCACATGTATGCCATGTTGTGTGTGTGTGTGTGTGTGTGTGTGTTAGCAGCATGAGTCTTTATCCACTAAGCTAGCACACTGGCTTCCGTGTTTTAAACCTTATGCCACCAAATCTATTCCCTTTCATATTTGCTTCCTTGTTTTTTTTTTTTTTTTTTAATCTCAGAAGCCGATTTTCGTTTGATTTTTAACCTTAAGAAAAGAGTTGGTCTCCATGCAGAAATCGGACAGAAAAACAATGAATGTCCTAAAAACTGTTAGTTCCTAACAGTATGATTTTTTAAAAATGTATTTCATCACTGATACTTTTGGAATTCATTTTCATGTATGAGTAATAACTGAAACTGATTTTCTTCCAAATAGAGATTCAACTAGGCCAGTACCATCTGCTGAATAATAATCATTTCTTCCCCCTCACTGGAGTCATTTTGGAGAGAATTCTAAACTAAGACTCCTTTGAAGAAAAAACCTCCTGCATCACTAGTTCAAAGAGATTCAGCAATCAAAACTTTCCAACAAACATGAGAAAAAAATACTAAATTTCATTCTTAAAGATAAACAAAATAAATGTCACATGCTGCCCCTATTTCGTTGGCATATCCAAAAGTTTAATACCTAGAATGTTAGAATAAAAGAATTGTGACAAAACCACCCAACATCTATACATAGAGACTCAACTTTTATTCTGCTCTACCAGCTGTCCCCAAGAATACCCATTTCCTAAAGCCCTGATCACCTAGTGGGTCATCAAACTGTCCTATTATCATGAGATGGGCTTAAAAAAAGAAAACAAAAACCAAAAAACCAGGCCAGAGAAATGGCTCAGTGGTTAAGACAGAGCACTAAGCTGCTCCTGCAAAGAACTGGGGCTCAGTTCCCAATACCCATTTGATGACTAACAACCCCCAGGAACTCCAGTCCAGGGGAATCCATACCTTTTTCCAATTTCCGTGGGCACTGCATGCACATGGCACATTTACAAACATGCAGGCAAAACACTCATACACATAAAAAACACAAATAAGAAAAAAAAATTAAAGTGGGGGAGTAATTGACTTTTCAATGTTCCTATCTTAAATGTGTAAAGATGAACATCTTTCCTCATATTTAAAAGACATGTAGATTCATGTGGCTGGGGCTGGAGAGACAGCTCAGCAGTTAAGAGCACTGACTGCTCTTGTAGAGGACCCGGGTTCGATTCCCAGCACCCACATTGTGGCTATGAACAGTCCTTAACTCCAGTTCCAGGGGAATTCAAGGCCCTCTTCTGACCTCTGTGGCATTGCATGACACGGGTGCACTTAATATATATGCAGGCAATACACTCATACACATCAGGACTACTGGCTCCCTACAGGTAAGCTCTTACTGCTGGTTTTATGTCAAGGGCTGCAGAAACTTTGATGGTACAAAACAAACACTCAAATCTATTTGTTAAATGAATAAATTCATCTGCTAAAGGAAAACTAGAAACAACTTATTTGGGGGTTAAATAATGTGCTTTTGGACCCACTGAGTGTGGCAGACTGGTGCTCTGGACCTGAATCTAAAAAGATCCTGCAGTTTCTACTTCTTTTCTTCTGAAATGTTGTTGCCATTAAGAGAAGTAACTACAAGGACCACTGTACTAGAGGAGTCAGTAGGCCCACCCAGCTGAACTAGTCAAAAGGACACATAATTGTTATTCCAAGCCTGAGTTTTGATGTGACTTGTTAAACAGTAAAAGTGAACTCACATGAGATTCAGTGTCCAGTATGAGACTGGATTAAGATACTTACAGGTAATCCTTACAAGAGAACACTATGCAGCCACTTTTTAGAGCTACAGCTATGGAAAGATCTTAAAAATATATAAATGAAAAAGTGTTTTTGTAAGACCTTTTTTATTTATTTGTCTTTGAAAGTAAACGAGTGAGTGAGTGTGCCTGTGCATACCCAGAGGCCAGAAGAGGGCATCAGATCTCTGAGAGTGGGAGTTGCAGGTGTTTGTAGGACACTGGATTGTTATATGGGTGCTGTTATCAAACTCTAGTACTCATAATTGTGCAGTAAGTACTTTTAACCACTGCACCATCTCTCCAGCCCCTCTACTTTTTGAGAAAGAGCTCTCCCTGAACCTGCAGTTCTCTCTCTAGACCCACAGCACATTTTATTTTTGTTTTATTTTTTGAGACAGGGTTTCCTTGTAGTCTCAGCTGGCCTGGAATTTGCTATGTAGACCAGGCTGGTCTCGATCTCACAGAGCTCTGCCTCTAGAGTGCTGGGATTAAAGGTGTGTGCCACCACACCAGGCCAGTTTAGCATATTTGAAATAAGGCATCACTCAATAGTCACAAGTCAACTTGCTGAATTTTCAAGCTAGTTACCTAGCAACACAACAAACATAAAGCTAAGCTTAAGAAAAAAGTAAGATTTACCTTTGGAGTCAGCATTTGGGAACAGCCTGTTCCATGGCACCTTATTTTTGTGTGGGAGAGAAAGCAAATAGTTTCTAGCTTTTAAATTTATTATACAGTTCAGGTCTTCCTGTGATGGAGATCCAAGAATACCTATCAAACAAAATATTAGCTGTTAATTTTCAAGACAAGAACAAATAATTACACGCCATCAGCTGTGGGATAGAATGAACTCTCACACTTAACGTGCTTTTTCTCCACTATCCCATGCTTTTCATAACAAGCTTTTACAAAATTCTTTAACATTTTTTAATTAGAAAAGAGTCAAAAAATCATGTCTATCATGGGTTACAGAGCATTTAGAACTTTTCATCATTTAATGACATAAGTCTGGTGTATATTATGCTCAAGAACCTTACCTAGAATGTGGTTCAGCTGGTCAAGATAATGCTTTCCTGGGAAGATGGGCCTGTTGGATAGCATCTCTGCCAGGATACAGCCCACAGACCAAATATCAATGGATTTGGTGTAGCCCTGCAACAGAAATGGAGAGAAGAAAGAATGTCATCTGGTGTCCACTGCAACATGAGATCTTTGTACATGAAACCATGAGGTTCATAAGAGTTTGAGTATCATCTGAAAACACATAGATACAACACTGGGCAGAGGTGGTACTGGCTCCAATATTCTCATTTTTTTCTACTTATTTCTCAGGTATAATTTTTTTTAGAGGAAGTCTTGTTAACAGTCATGGAATTATTTTGTCTGTATCATAACAATAGTGCAAAAAGATGTTTTTGCAAGGAATTTAAGTTGAATTTTATGAAAAGTCAGGTATGGTGATGAATGGAAAAAGAAAAAAAGATCAAGTAAACCAGTAAAATTCAGAAAAAGAATGAAATCTTTTTGGAAAATCAAAGAAACAGTGACTTGATCTACAGTTATAAAATGGGTTAAATTAAAAAAAATATTGTACTTATTATTTTATGTGTATGAGTATATCGCCTTGGAGATCAGAAGAAGGCATCAGATCCCCTGGAACTGAAGTTACGGACAGTTGTTGACCACCATGTGGGTGCTGGGAATTGAACCCAGGTCCTCTGCAAGTGCAATCAGTGCACTTAACGGCTGAGCCATCTCTCCAGCACCCCAAATGGGTTAAATTTTAAAGTAATTCTAAAACTCATGTAATCTAAAATAGTTTTGGTTTGGGGCCAAGCCTAAATAAAAGGAACAATGAAAACACATAAATAAATAATAAATAAATAAATAAGTAAATAGGATCAAGTCTCCTGGGAGAAATGTCTGTTCCAGATCTAGGACAGGGAAAGTATAGATGACTCTGGAGCACTTGACACCAGAGTAGCAAGCAAGTGCCTAAGGCTGGTGGTGGTGAGATGTCTAAACCTGGTACAGAGTGGATTATAAACTGGAGAATAAATAAATGGAAAAAGCTAAGGCACAAGACAGTTATGTCATCACTAATGGACAGTAAGAGAAATAGTTGAGAGTATCATGAAAAGAACCTTCATAAACTATTTCCCCACAAACTATTGCTGGTTAAGGGGTTCTGGAACTGATAATCAGAAGCTCAACGTGAGTATTACAGTTGTCAGTACAACATAACTTTGCCTTTTGATATGAAGCATCAAGAAACACTGCTCAGAAGCAATGCTAAATATTTATGCTAAAATGCATGACACAAAACTGAAAGGCATGCTGAAAAACAGCTGCTACACTCTTCATAAATAGCACTCAATTAATGCTGATCTTATGTGGTAAGCTAGGTACCATGGCTACAGGGAAGAAAAATTCCCCCGACCCCCATCCCCTGTGTTAGTGTTAAAATGCCCTAAGTGGTCAAGGAGTAGAGTGTTGGTAAAATGTCAGGTGACAAGGGAAGGGACATACAGGTGGTCATTACACTCTCAATTTTTGTGTTTGGAAATCCTTTAAGTTAATAAAAGGCCAGACATGGTAGTGCATGCATGCCTATAATCTCAGCACTTGTGACGTTGAGACAGGAGGACTGCAAGTTTCAGGCCAGCCTAGGTATACAGGGAGACCCTGTCTCAAAAAAATTAAAAATCCCCCAAGCCCAAAACATCCAAAATCCCCAGTACTACAGAAATAACTCTGAGGCTAGCAGTGTTGGAAAAAAAGGATATATGTATTTAATTTTCACTACAATAACTGCAGTAGAAGGGAGCACTCACTGGGCAGCTGGACAATGCAGAGCTTGTCTCTTCCCCTACTTCCTCAGAGAACGAAGCAAAGGCAGTGGGGACATTGTGACTGAGATGACATAAGGATGAAAGACCAATCACACCAACAAGTCCCATTTAATTCAGAGCAGGCACTGCACACCTGTTGGCTAATGCTCTTTGGCATATGTTACATTAGAGAAAGAACCTGCTATGCAGGAGTATTTGCATACAGAATTATAACAGAATCAATATAAAACTTTCTTCTATGAAACATCTATTATACCAAATTTTTTAAAAGATATTTTTTTAAAATTTTATTATTTTTTATGTGTATGAGTGTACTACCTGCATGTATGTAAGTGCACCCATGTCATGCAAAACCTGCAGAGGCCAGAAGGCGTCAGATTCCCTCGAACAGGTGTTACAGACAGTTGTTAGCTGTCATGTGGGTGCTGGGATGCAAACAAGGCCCTCTCCAAGAGCTGCCAGTGCTTTTAACCACTGAACTATTGCTCAGCTCCCTATACCATTTTTTTTGGTATTTCTGAGACCTGGAACTTTGCTCTGTAGACCAGGCTGGCTTGAACTCAGAGATCTGCCTGCCTCTGCCTCCTGAGTGCTGAGATTAAAGGTGTGCATCACCAGACCTGGTACCTATACCAATTTTTTAATATATATATATTTATTTTTTAGGCGTATGAGTGTATTGCCTGTGTGTGTGTATGTGCACCCGCATTATGCAGTGCCTGTGGAGTCAGAAGAAGGCGTTGGATCCCCTGGAACTGGAGTTTGAATGGTTGTTAGCTGTCATGTGGGTGCTGGGATTTGAACCAAGGTCCTCTGCAAGAGTAATCGGTGTTCTTAACCACTGAGCCATCTCTCCAGCCTCCCACCAATTTTTAAAAAAGATATTTTATTTATCATTTTTATTTTATGTGTATGAGTATGCCTGCATGTGTGGAAGTGCCCCTGTGTCGTGCAATGTCCAGGAGCCAGAGGAAGGTGTTGGAGTCCCTGGAACTGGAGTTATGGATGGTTGTTAACTGCCATGTGGGTTCTGGGAATTGAACCTGGGGGTCCTCTGTAAGAGTAGCCAGTGCTTTTAACCGCTGAGCCATCTCTCCAGCCCCTCCTATACCAAATTTTTTTATAATAGCATTTCTTCTAATGGTATTTTGCTTTATAAATGAACAAATGTAGGATATCAAGAGCTGTTTTACACAAATCCCATTTCCTACCAAAAATAATCTAATAGCTAATCTCAGAAAGGACAGAGGAAGAGAAGGAAGCTTAGGTGCTGACTGAACCTGTATTTCCACTGTATTTCCATTAGGCTTCCATTGTGGTTCTGGGCCATAGACATGATGGCCAATGTCTTCTTATATTACTTTTCTTCAATGATACACTGTAGCAAATGGAAATGATATCTAAAAATCTTAAAATCTTGAGATATGAGATACAGAGCCTACTTAAAAGTATCCAAATGGTGAATTTCTGACTGCAGATGGCTCAGCAGACTGGAGTTCAGTTACAGGTACCCATATCAGGTGGCTCACAACTGCCTTTAACTCCACCTCTAGGGGATCCAACATCCTCTTCTGGCCTGCACACATGTGGAACAGCCCTGCTCCCCCACATACATACTATTTTTAAAATAGTTTATTATTTTTGCTCTATGTATCCAAGCGTATTGCCTGCATGTGTGTAAGTCCACCCATGTTGTGCAATGCCTGTGGAGGTGAGGGCACTGGATTCTTCTGGAATTAGAGTTACAGACAGTTGTTAGCCACCATATGGGTGCTGAAAACCCACTGAAACATCTCTCCAGCCCTATTATATGATAATTTTGAAAAATCTTTTCAATGTCTCTAACACTCTTCAATTTTGCCTACTAAGTCATAATTCTAACAAAAAACTCATTTTTTTTTTTTTTTTTGGCTTTTGTAGATATAGTCAATCATCTATTTGAGGCAAGGTCTATGTAGCCCAGGCTGGCCAGAAACTCATCATGGCAATCAGGTGGGCCTCAACTGTGTAGTAATCCTCCTACCTCTGCCTCATGAGTGCTTAAGATTATTCAGTCATCAATATCAAGACCTAGATTTCGCTGGCAGAGTCTGGATGCAACCTACATCTACTTTCCACAGCTACTCAGTGATGAAGAGGAAGCATTTCACTTTGAAGCAGAACTACATAGTAATTTCAAGAATCCATAGTGGTTCCTACTCTTTTCTACCTCCCTTTTTCTTTAAGTGCAACAAATTATATTAGCCCTGCCAAAGAGACATTCATTATCAGGCACACCTGACCTTTGTAGAACAGCCCTTGTCCATGTTTACACATTACAGGAAATGCTAACACAAAAACAGCCTGAACCCAAAACAAAGTAGGTATAAAAGTAGCCAAAGGCAGTACCTTAGTACTATGGACAAAGGAGGGACACAGACCATTTATGGTCATTATGACTGGAGATGGTAAACCCTACAGCCCAAAAGTTCAATGTTAAGAATAGGACAGCACTCTGGCTCTGGCTAGACAGGCCAGGTTGAAGGCTACTGTTTAGAAACTTATTTCCTGGTTTCCTTTTCTTACCTTGGAATTCAACATAATTTCTGGAGCTCTGTACCAACGTGTGGCTACATATTCTGTCAGGAACCCTGTGTGATCATGATCTGGATCAGCAACACGGGCGAGGCCAAAGTCACAGATCTAAGAGAAAGAAAGTAGGATACCTTTTTAGAGATTCTAACTAGCTTGAAATCAAACACCATGAAAATAAAGGAAAACAGCAATAATAATGGTAATATCCATGTGCTACTATTACTATGCTAGATACTTTCTAATAATGCCACAAACTTATTATTGCTTAATCCTCAACAACCCGAAAGGATTCTTAATAAGCACAATTTGATAGCCATCCTCAGGGATGGTAAATGCACAGCAGTCTCATTTAGTAAACTTGTCCAACTATTATGGAGGGTAGGAGAGATGGCTCAGTGCTTAAGAGCACATAGGCTCTAGCAAAGGACCCAAGTTCAGTTCCCAGCACCCATACTCGGTTGTTCGCAACTGCCTGTAGCTCCAGCTCCAGGGGATCTGATGCTTCCTTCTAGCCCACAGGCATCTGCACACACATGCCATACAGACACAAACACACACACAAAACTGGCATGTGTAGAATCACCAAAACTATCCAGAGCCCTTCTCAGCACCATCCTACTGGAGCTCCCAGGATCACTTCTGATTGGCTTTTTAATCTGTGCTGGCCAATTTCTCATTCTCCCATTTCTAGCTAATTTCTACCTAGTCCATCAATGTTTCTATTTCTGAAGATTCTTCTTACTTCCCTATTTCCCTATAGTCAAATCCACCCTCAAAGTTTTAAAGCTTTCATGCATGGATGTTATGGAGCATGTGTGGAGGTCACAGAACAACAGTTCTCTCCTTCTATGATGTTGGCCCTGGGGAATCAAACTTAGGTGGTTGGGGCTTGGGTACAAGTGCTTTTACCCACTGAACCATCTCACTAGCCCATCCACTATTCTGTTTTTAGCTGTATTTATTTAATGTACTTTTTATTAATTTATTTTTATTTTATGTGTATGAGTGCTTAGCCTGTACATATGCCAAGTGTACCCGTGCAAGGCCAGATGAGGGCACTGGATCCCCTAAAACTGGAGTTAAGCTGCCATGTGGGTACTGGGAACCAAAACCAAACCCAGATCTTTGCAAGAGCAGTTAGTGCTCTTAACCACTGACCCATCTCTCAAGACCTTTTGTTTTTGCTTTTAATATTTTATTATTTTTATGTGTGTGTATTGCCTGCACATAGATAAGTGCACCTGTGTCGTGCAATGCTCACAGAGGACAGAAGAGGATGTTGGATCCCCTGGAACTGGAGTTATGAACAGTTGTTAGCTGTCATGTGGGTGCTGGGATTTGAACCCGGGTCTTCTGCAAGAACAGCCAGTGTTCTTAACCACTAAGCCATCTTTTCAGCCCCACCCCTACTTTGTTTTTAGAATGTCCAGCCTTTCATATTCTTTTGACTTATAAAAAGTGCCTCCTAGGCTTTTCCTACTGGATTCAGCTACCTTACTAGACTCCAATGCACATAAAAGAAGCAATAATTTATTTAGTTCCATACACATGCAAAGTATTTTAATTCTCGGTCTCTAGGAAATCAAATCTCAAACTCGGAGCCCTGCCTGCCCACCTCTGAGTATCAGATTAAAGGTGTATGCCACCACACTCAGCAGCTGTAGCTTCTGAGAGAAATACAGTTAAGTTCTAAATTCTGTTTGATCTTGAGGCTCTCAATATTCGTGTCTTATTGTGGGAGTTAACTATAGGAAGCGTCTAAAGTCTGAGGTGCTCTAGAAATGAGTCAAATGATGAAAGCAATGAATGAATGAATGATTTCTTCCATGTCTGAAGGGAACGCTCTGAGCCATCACTTCATATCTTGGACTCTTGCCAACCTATTCCAATTCTGTATGCTTGAACTTTTCAACATGTGTGACCCACAGTTACTGTCTTTTGTAGGGCTAACACTTCATTCAACCAAAGCTCACCATTCAGCCTGCCTTGCTATATGAATTGCATCTGAAGTCACAGTGAATGATACACTTGAAAGAAATACTGCACCTTATGAGCAGGGTAAAATGAGGGCAAGGCCGGAATGTGGGCAAATCTGTTATTGTTCACGGTGTCTGATGTAACCACAATCCATGAGAAAGCTATTCAAATACCTCATCTCCCTAGCTAAAATGTTGAGTCCCTAGAAAAACCAGTACTTGACATATTTGTTATTTCTTTTTTTTGGTCTTTTTGAGACAGGGTCTCCCTGTAGCCCCAGCTGTCCTGGAACTCACTATGTAGACCAGGCTGGCCTTGAGCTCACAGAGATCCCCTGCCTCTGCCTCCCGAGTGCTGGGATTAAAGGTGTGCGCCACCATGCCTGGCCTGACATATTTGTTATTTCTAAGTGTCCTATAGTGAAGCTTCAACATCTGGTGCACTAGAGATTTTGGTTTTTGGAGAATACTGGGATGAGTTACAGACAGTTGTTAGCTGCCATGTGGGTGCTGGGATTCAAACCCAGGTCTTCTGCAAGAATAGCTAATGTTCTTAACCACTGAGCCATCTCTCCAGCCCCCTCTGATAGCTTTAAATATGAGTAATACCTCAAGTTTAAGCTGGTTTTACCTTTTAGAGACAGGGTCTCATTATGTAGCCACAGCTGGCTGGGAACTTGCTATCTAGACCAGGCTGGCCTCAAACTCAGAGATGTATCTGCCTCTGCCTCTTGAGTGAGTGCTGGGATCTAAGGCATGTGCCACCACACCCATTTAATTTTTTTTCCTTTTAAAGTATGTACAAATCTAAGAGCAAATGACCTGGCTGACCTTGAGATCACAAGTGGTGTTGAGCAGCAGGTTAGAAGGCTTGAGGTCACGGTGCAGAACATTAGCTGAATGAATGTATTTTAACCCTCTAAGGATCTGATAAAGAAAATAGCAGATATGGTCATTGCTGAGGTGTTGTGTCTTCAAGAGCTTGTAAAGATCTGTTTCCATGAGGTCCTGTACTATATATCTGTTTGACAGGTTAAGGTAAAATATCTACTAGCTGGTCACACTTAGCAAAGCATTAAAAACAAAATTCAACCTTTCTTAATCCTCTTCCCCAAAGAGCATGAGGCACCTTCAATGGAAAGGAGAAACTAAAAAATGTGGTATACTCTCAAGGGAGGAATCTGAAAGAGAGCCTGTGAAACAAAAATGTATTATACCTACCCTTTGTGGCTTGTTACGGGCTCAACTTCCCAGTTCTCCAAATTGCCCACTATCAACCAATCAACTGCCAAAGCCAAGGAGGGTGGTAGCCAGCAAGCATCACATGCACCCTCATCTCTTTGGCCCAGCAGCAACCTGCCAAGGCCACCATTCTTTTTCCTTCCTTCTTGCTACTCTTACTCACCCATCTCCCCATAAACCAAGCTGAAGTACAGACCAAGAAATACACTGCCACTAAGTCCAACCTCAGCTTATTTTTTGAACTGTTAAACTTTTATATAAATAAGACTATGGGGAAGAATGTGAGGAAGGGGTTAATTTTGGATTTTTTTCCTCCTGCTTTCTTGCCTAGATACTATGTAAGTACCTAAAACTTTAGCTAAAACCACCTTAGTTTGGTCTTTTTTAAGACAGGGTCTCCCTGTAACCCCAGCTGGCCTGGAATTCACTATGTAGACCAGGCTGGCTTGAACTCACAGAGATCCACCTGCCTCTGCTGGGATTAAAGGTGTGGTGTGTGCCACCACACCCGGCGTACCTTATTTCTTATGGAAATTAAATTACATAAGCCTTTTATTGTTTTCTTATTTTTATTTATGTTTTATTACTTTTATTTTATGTGTAGGAGTGTATTATATGTATGTGAGTGCACCCATGTTGTACAATGCTTCGGAGGTGAGAAGAGGGCTTCGGATTCCCCTGGAACTGGAATTAAGGATGGTTTGTAGCCATCATGTGGGTGCTGGGAATCGAACCCGGGTCCTCTGCAAGAGCAATCAGTGCTCTTAACCGCTGAGCCATCTCTCCAGCCCCAAGCCTTTTTCATCTCTGCATAAATATTATTCTGTTTCCTACATAGGTTCATACTAGAGACCACCAAGCGTGGGATGTGAAGGACACAGGACTTTTAAAAACTTGTCATCTGTAAAAGGCTTACTTTTATGGCAAAGGTAAAAACAAGACCAACAGGTGGTAGCAGCAGAAGGCATTTCACTTAAAATACCACTACCAGTTATTAACAGAGCTGTTTAAAAATGGAAAAGCTTCCTGGAGACAGTGAGCTGCCGCTCTCCAGAGGCACAGACTGCAAATGGTAGGAATGCACTAGACAGAAGGGCAACTTGCTTCTTTCTAACAGACCCTCCTCAGCAGATGACAACCTCTACCTTTCACCATCAGCCTTTATCTAGGCAGCATCTTCTGTACCTGCTCACCCCAGACTTCTAATGATGACCACAGTTACTCACATATACCGGAGTTGGTCTGGTCTTAAAAGACCACAAGGCCCAGTTTGTTCATTTTAAAGATAAGGAAGGGGAGGCCTAAAACAAAATTAAAAACAAAATTCAACCTCTCCAAATAGTTTGTGTTATAAAGCATGAGGCCGTCAATGGAAAGAAACTAGAGAACACATGGAATATCTACTGTAGCAAGCTAAGACTGTGTCTTGAGATCTGGATAGCACTGATTGGGCCAGATGGATATCTAGAGGCACCCACATCCCCATGTGAATGCTCTTTTATTTCCCTTTCCACCATCTCAAACTATCTGTTGGAAGGAAATCACAGGATTGGAAATCACATTAACCAAGACTTTCCATTATTCAAAAAAATGTCTGGGGGGGTTAATAATTTATTGAGAATTTCATACACGCATATAAGGTGTTTTGATTAAATCCATGCCCACTCCCTCCTGTCTCTCTCTAAAAAACAAATTACCTTGGCCTGGGGAACTACATCTGAGGTTGTTCTCTGGCCTCTATTTATTATTTATTTATTTATTTATTTATTTAATTTTTATGAGGCTTCTGGCTACCCAAGCACCAGAGAATACACTTTCTACTCAGCATCCGATATAACTTTTTCAAAAATTGACCACATACTGGGGGGGATTTTTTTTTTTAATGCTTTATGCACTTTTCCTTGATTCTGATAAGTTCACAAAATTTCAAGTTCTATTTATCCCACAAACGATCAAGTAGAGGCAGCAGCTAGCTGCCAGAAAGGATACACATCTTTCATTTGCTCAATGGTTGGTGCTCGAATAATATCATTGATGCCAATGATGTTCTCATGTCTGAAGCGCAGCAAGATTTTTATCTCTCTCAGGGTTCTCTGGCAGTAGGTCTGGTGTTCAAAAGGACTGATTTTCTTGATAGCTACTCGAACTTTGTTGAGATTATCATAAGCAGAGCTAAAAATTGAAAGAAAAAAAAAAGAAAGAGACAGTATTAAAAACAGTCCACAAAATTGTTTGGCAGCACAAATGGTAAACTACTAAGCTTTCAACATCTGTATAAATGTTTATTTCATACTGGTGAAGGCAGCAGGTATGCTATCTACAAGGCCTCAAGCTAGGAGAGAAAGAAGCTAAAGCAAGACAAATAAAGGGTGTGGCCTTGTTCACAGGGTGAATGCCCATTTCTATAAACTCACCTTGTGTTTATACCAAAAAGCATTTTCCCATTGTCTTCAACAAGTTCATTTTGGTGAAAGTAATCATTTCTGTCTTCAAAACAACTATCTACTGTGTCAAATTCCTTGGCAGAAAACATTCAAATACTATCAACCACATCTTTATCCCTAACAAAAACAGATCCAGAGAGCTTGATTGCTTTAATCAACTTTCTTACATGCAAAACATGACTTTTTTTTCTTAAGAAACTGAACCATGATGGTAATTTTCTTTTCTTTTCTTTTTTTTTTTTTGGTGTTTTTGAGACAGAGTTTCCCTGTAGTTCCAGCTGGCCTCGAATTCACTATGTAGACCAGGCTGGCCTCTAACTCACAGAGATCCACCTGCCTCTGCTGGGACTAAATGTGTGCACCCACCATGCCCGGCTGTGATAGTAGTTTTATAACAAAACCTATAAAGTAATTTTCCAAAATACGCTTTCATAGCCATAAGACAGGGCCCAGCCTCTTCCCAAGCTATCCTTAAGACCCAGCAACATAATTCTGAGCAGAAGCAACAAAAATTCTTTCAATTTCAAGATGATTTAAAGTCTTAGATATTACTACTATCTTCTTTGGCCAACATTCTACACAAATTATTTTCTACAAAAGGATTTTATATTAATAAATGTCAACATCTGGCTCCAACGAAAATGTTGACAGGCAGTAAGATCTTCCTGTTTTCTCAGTAAGTGCTAAAAACATGAAACAGTAAAACAACTTCATTCTGAAGTTTGTGCTTCTAAATGATGCTTACCTACTTTAATAATTATTGATGGCTTTGTCTGATTCTATCACAAGACTATGCTCTAGGAGTAACCTTGTTGGTGGCTTCAGTTATCTCACAATGCCATCAACATGCTGCACTGTGCTGCACTGTCCCCAAACACTTTGAAATGAAATATAGTTCTCAGAAGAATCACTATTTAAATCTTATTTTGCCTTGGTTTGGTGTGTTAGGGCACAAATCAGTGACTTTCATAGGGGCAGGTAAAAGGATATATAATTTAAGCAAGCTTATTCAATATTGGGAATTACTTTTGAAATAAAACCTTTTTGGCCCTCACCAAATAATCACCCCTACAACACATGAGAGAATATAGATTAAAATGGTTATAAAGCTTTGAGATTGTAGCTTATTGGTAGAGAGCTTGCCTAGTAGCATGTACAAGGCCCTGGAGTTTGATCCTTAGGCATTGCAAAAACTAAAAACAAATAAAAAATAAAGTTGTAAAATACTGCTTTAAACTCAGTATAAATTTTTTATACACTGAACACAGCAGTCAAATATGCTCATAACTTGCTTTACAGAATTAAAATCTAACAAGACTATTAGAAGGAGAAGTTGGGCATCAGTGTAGCCTTCCACTGTATCCCTTATTCAATGGTGAAATAAGGAACCACTGACATTCTTACATGCTTAAAGGTGTCAGACCATCCTCTTGCACTTTCATGTGAACTGTTCATGGAGTGTGGTCTACTCCGGTCTGCTATACTATCCATTTTTTGTTGCCTTTCTGGTTGATATAATCACCATGAAACAGATTATAACGAAGCCATGTTCTTCACAGCTACTCTCTCCTTGGATTTTTGTTTTATGTATTTTTTTTTTTTTTTTTTTTTTTTGGAGACAGGGTCTCCTTATAGCCCCAGCTGTCCTGGAACTCACTATGTAGACCAGGCTGGCCTCAAACTCACAAAGATCCACCTGCCTCTGTCTCCCAAGTGCTGGGATTAAAGGCGTGCGCCACCACTCCTGGCTGTTTTATGTATTTTTTACTAGTCTTATTCGCCACAAATATATTTCACTGGCTTACCTTTTATCATGAAATTTTTGGTGTCCCTTAATAGTTTCTATTTAAACCACTTTATTATTATAAATCATCTTTAATTTTTGCTCATTCTCCTCAAATTTGCTTTTCTTGGCTTTTCATTTTGAATGTTTTCCCCAATTATAGTTGTAATATGGGATCATAATCCAGTCTATAATCATACAAACTTTGGATGGAATAATTTGAGGATATTTATATATTTTAACTAATAAAGCTGCTTTTTTCAAAAACCAAACTTAAAGGGCTAAAAAATTCCTCAAAGTTAAGAAATAGCTTGGTGTGGTGGTGGTACATGCCTTTAATTTCAACACTTGGGAGGCAGAGGCAAGTGGATCTGTGAGATCAAGGCCAGTCTACTCCCAGGCCAACTGAAGCTATAGGGAGACCCTGTCTTGAAAAATCAAAAAGGAAAAGAAAAAATAAATAGCTCTATAACTCACCCATATAAAGCAAATAATCTTTAAATTGGCTGGGAGGATAGTTCAAAGTACTTGCCATGAAAGCATCCAAACTTCAGTTTGATCCTCCAGAATCCCATGATTTAAAAAAAAAAAAAAAAAAAAAAAAAAAAAGCCAAGAGCTAGAGAGACAGTTCACTGGGTAAAGTGCTTGTTGTGTAAACATGCATAAAGACTTAAATTTAAATTTCCATGTAAAAATGACAGGTGTGGCAGCTTGTACCTACAGTCATTTTTGGTTGCAGGACACAGACAAATCAAGCTGTACTGAGCTGGAATCTTCCTCCCTGCTGGCTTTCATAGTGCCTGAAGTTGCCATGCAGACTGTTGAGGGAGAAAAGTCATCAATGATCCTATCCAGCTGTGAATGATCTGAGCTCTAATACCACCTGTCAGGCAAGATGCACCATTGGTGCAAGAGTGGCATGATTGTTATGGAGATAACCAGCCACTTCCTGACTGGTGTTGAGGCCTGCGCCACAAGATATAAGTCATGTCTTATACTACAAACCTGGTCACAAAAGCCCATAGCTAGAGGAGTTCATAGTCCTAGGAAGGAACCCACTATTTTGTTTTGCTAAATGGACATATTACCAAACTACCTTCTACATATTTATACCCATCGATCAGTGTTTCTCTCAAGCTTGGCCAGAGAAGCTTCTTTTTGTAGTGGGCAGCAGTCAATGCAGAGACCCTTAAGTAGTCTAAGAGCTGAGAGTAAGTGACTAAAGTGCTCAGCCTTAAAAAACATATAGATCACCTCCTCCAAGGCTGAGGGAACATCACAAAAGGGAGCAGAAAAAAAGGTAAGGGTTGGCTCTTTGCTCCTTCCTGTTCTGGAGACAGTTGCATCTTTACCTGTAGTGCCAGCTTCGTCCCTTAGACATGAATGGATATCACAGTGAATGGATTTGGCTGTATTGGGCACCTAGTCAGCAAGACTGCCTTCAACCCTGGCAAAGTGGAGATTGTTACCATAAATTACCACTTCACTGACCTCAACTACATGGTCTACTTAAGCTAGTATGAGCCCACCCTCAGCAAATTCCACAGCACAGTCAAGGTTGAGAACAGGAAACCTGTCATCAATAGGAAGGTCATCTCCATCTTCTAGGAGAGAGATTCCACCAAAGTCAAATGGGGTGATGTTGGTGCTAAGTATATTGTGGAGACAACTGGTGCCTTCACTACCATGAAGAAAGTCAGGATCCACTTGAAGGGTGGACACAAAGGGTCATCATCTCTGCCCCTTCCACTGATGTCCTCATGTTTGTGATGGCCATGAACCATGAAAAGTATGACAATTCAGTCAAGATTGTCAGCAATGACTCCTACACCACTAACTACTTAGCATCCTGCTCCTCACTGGCCAAGGTTATCCATGACAATTTCAGCATGACCACAGGCCATGCCATCACTGCTACCAGAAGATTATGGACAGCCCCTCCAAGAAATGCTGGCATGATGGTCATAAGTTTCCACAGAACAGTATCTCTGCATCCACTGGTGCTGCCAAGGCTGTGTGCCAAGGTTGAATGGAACACTCATTGCATGGTCTTCTGTGTTCTAATCCCCCAGTATGCCTGTCATGGATCTGACCTCCTCTTGGAGAAACCTGCCAAATACGATGACATCAAGAGGGTGGTGAAGCAGGCATCAGAGGGCCCTCGAAAGAGCATCCTGAGGGGCTGGAGAGATGGCCAGCAGTTAAGAGCACTGACTGCTCTTACAGAGGACCCAGGGTCGATTACCAGCACCCACAAGGCAGCTACGAACCTTCCTTAACTCCAGTTCCAGGGGAATCTGAAGCCCTCTTCTGACCTCTGCGGCACTGTACTGCATGGGTGCACTCACATACATGCAGGCAATATACTCATACACATAAAATAAAAATAATAAATAAAATACTAAAATAAAAGAGGGGAGCATCCTGAGCTATACCGAGGACAGGTTGTTTCTTTTGACCTTAATAGCAATAACCACTCTTCTACCTTTGATGTTGGGGCTGCACTGCCCTCAATGACACTTTGTCAAGCTCATTTCCTACTATGACAATGACTATAGCAATAGAGCGGTGAACTTCATGGTCCATGTGGCCTTCAAGGAGTAAGAAGCCCTGGACAACCCACCTCAGCAAGAGGAAGAGAGAGCTCCTCTGATGTTGGGTAGTCCCTGCCAGCTCAGCCCTCAACACATTGAGTATTCTCTTCACAGCTGCCATCCCAGACCCTCAGAAGTGGGGTGGGGGACCTTAGGGAACCCTATTTTCTTGGAACACCATCAATAAAGTTCACTGTTCCCCCAATGCCTCCCCCCCCCAAAAAAAGAATGTAAAACCTGGAGGATGGGTAAGAATGTTATGAAATACTGTCTTCTGGATAGGACATGGCCACTGCATTCATGAACTCATAGCAGCTATAGTTGATGGCACAAGACCTGTGTAAGATCGA